TATATTACAATTGTGCATAATATAAATTAATAAGATTTACAATCGCCTTGATCGTTGGTCAGAAAAAATATCTTTGGGACTAAACGATTTCTTCGTAATTTTACCTTGAGTAAAGAATATAGTATACAATCATAATATTATTACTAGCTAATTAATAACTACTGTTATACGAATAGCATCGCAGTGTTCTCTGTCCAGCAATCCCATTAAGTATATAATACGAACTGGTTAAACGTAGAGTAATCATTAGAATAATGTAATAATAGTTAAAATGATTACATGTGAACGTTAATTGTTATATTTTATTTTATCGGTTAATTCAAAGCATTCGTCGATGACATGAGTATAGTGAATCTTTATTAATCGTAGCATATGATTTATTACGATATACTTGTAATTATTCATAACATTTCGCTATATTTAAAATACTATGAACTTGAAACACATGCATTCAAAAAAAATCAAATTAAACAAACGAGTATTATATACATTACGTTTATTAGGCAATAATGAAGTTTTAGATCTAAGACTCAGAAACTTAAAATTTATGTTCTATTATTGTTCTGATGAGCAAGCCGAGAATTGTTCCGTGTTTTTATAATTTTGTTTCATATATGGGATTGTGTGTTTCCAATAGTTTTGCTAACTATGTTGTCATCTAAACGTAGGGATGAGTACTTTACGTTAGGTTCATTTGTTGCAAGAGGTGATTATTATTAACTTTGAAACGGTTACTTAGTTATGATGTTATTGATCAAATAAATATGGGGTTGTTTTATATTGTAATCAAATTTGTATTTTGTATCAGTAACCTCCGTGCAATCTTGATAACTATACCACTGTTATTCAAATAAACTATGCGTATTACTCGTATTGAATAATTATATTAATAACATTAAATACAAAAATTATAGACAAATAGGAAAGTGAATTACCTAGGTTTATGAATTCAAACGAATTCAAATTTTAAAAATAAATCAATAGTATTTGACGGTTAATGTAAATATATTATTATTGTTTTTCTCTGTTATAAACAAATTTTAATTGATTGTAACGTGCCAAATATTAAGTTCGATAGTGTAACAATGTTAAAGTTAGTCAAATGTCAATAATAATATTCAATATAGAATAAAGAATACTAGTGATGATATTACGGTTTTTTATAAACACTTTGAATAAATCAACATAAATAATTTAATACTAAAACGTCGATGATATTAACAGGTAGAGCTTCTCTACTGGATGGCTGGATATGACTGAATTTGGTACTGATCATAAGTCCTTAGGTATGTTGATGGATCGTTTTATTTATCGATTCTTCTTTTGTTCATTTGGTTGTTATTATCAATTAGTTGTCCTTGATCATGTTTGAGCATGATACAACCACAGACGGTACTATTTTGTAATTTCCGCGTGTGTAAATTAACGATTAGTATTTATATTTTCATTATTTCTAATATTTTATTTAATTTTAGGTTATTTTGATAAAATGTATTGTTTTGCGTGTCTCATGTTGATTTATATTTCATTATAAAGTACTATATAGTAATTATAAAGTACCCCATAGTAATACGTAGTAAATTATATAATCTAAATTATACAATTTCATATGAAACCAACTTTTCAAGTTAAATATCATATATTATATTATTGTGAATTATGTTAGTAAACAATAGGAAATAGTTATTCGCATACTTATATTCCTTATATGTGAAAAAGTGTATTATTTAATCTGGGAACTCAAAATCAATATACCTATATTATTTTCAAGATATTTAAATATTGATTTATAGCACGTGAGGAAAAAGACAAAGACATTTGTTTGGTACAAACACTTCTTACTCCGGTGTAATATATCCTCGTAGATGGTTGAATATTAATACATATATATAAACCACGGTTTTAAGAGTAACCTTTGAAATATTTCGACAGTCTGTCCTCTGTATGCTTCGTGTTAAAATATTTGAAAAAATATTACTTTAAATCATATATATTTAAAAAAAAAAATTATTTAAATTAATTCGATGTAAAAATTACTTTCATAAATTACATCAGATGTAAATTTACTAAACAATTAAGTACACTACTAATTATACTACTCTCATGTAAATATTTGACGAATATAGATCTTTAGAAACGTAATTAAGATAAAATATCAAATTAAGTTTAAAGCGTTTCTGGTTACTATAAAATAATGTTATAGCTCTGAAATATTTTTGTTTTTAAATTATTTTTACAGTTGTGAATATAATTATAATTTTATGAGGTTTATATTCTCAATTAAATTGTATTCCTCAGAATAATTAAATTAACAAAATCTAATTAAAAAAAACTAATAATTTACTCTAACAATGCCTATACCTATTTTTTAAAGCAATGATTTATATGCAACATAGATGTAATAGGAAATTTGAAGTGTCGTGTGAAATACTTGAACACATACACAAACTCGTAATACGTAAAAAACAAACTGCACACATAAGTTAGCTTGATTCACACTAGTAAGCAACTTTAGAATTTACAATTAATATTGCTTCAATTCAATAATATTTAATAAATTTAATAACGTATTAATGATTATACTTACACTCTAATATTTCACTTTCTAGGGATTATTAAAAATAGGTACTATTTGATTTATATGTTTATAGAGAAGCTAAAGGTAATTTAAAAAATAAAATAAACTTAATCGAATACATGGAACCTTTTAGACTTTCGGATGTATCTTCGGGTTGATACTGACAAAAGCTTTAAACTTTTAATCATGTCGTATGACCATTACGGAATGAAAAACGTTTCAAAATACAATGCGTGACCGATTGGTGTCTGATGCACGACCGGTCACGGCTTTTGAATTTCTGAATTACGTCAGTTTTACGAAACGACAAATGTCAGTTTTTACGAAGTACGTCGACTTCTGTTGAAGATCGTTGTGTGTTGAATGTTCAACTTTTTTGATAATGAATTGATGTGCATTTTGAATAACAATAAATTAATTTTAAACTTACTGAAAGAAGAAGTGGAAAAAATAAACTATAATTTTCGTATTTATTGCATAAGAAAAGGAAATTAATGGATTCCTTATTTTTAAGCAGTGAAGATGAAAGGTATTCTCAAACAAATACGATTTTTCAATTAAAATATACCTAATACATATATTAAAATTTAAGAACATTAAAAATGTTACGCGATTAAAACTATTATAAAATATATTATAGGGCGGAAAGTTTCACATTTTATATTGTGTTGGTGAAAATTAAACAAAATATTAATTTCGTTTTGAAGAATTATGCAATAAATGACATTATAGTGAGATTCGTAGCAGAATTAATCCGTGGTGAATGATGCGAGCGATATTCAAATCAAATCCGCAGATGAACGTTAGTGGCGCACAATGGCTTGCGCGGGCGAAATGCAATTTTAAATTATTTCGGCGCCATAACTCAAACGCAGTAAAATAAAATATTATTTTACATTGTCTCCGTCGAAAACTACGAGATTACACAATTTTCGAACGAAAAAATCTTTAAGATTAAAAAGAACAATGGCATGTTTCGCATAACATCAAGTAAGCGGGAAGACGCATGGGAAAATGAATTCATCCAGTACCCATAACTAAGACATTTTCAATTAAAATTAAAACCTCTATTATTATTTAGAACACAAATTCAAGCACTTGTCGATCAATAACAGCATTTATAGAATACGTCAATAACTCATTAGTAGCAAAATGATCAGAAACAGTTGGTCGTCTTAGATTTGATTAATAAATATAACTTGGCAGTCCAAGACCCGATATCGCGTTTCAGAAAACTCAATCCGACCACTTGCGTTTAACTAAAAATCAATAAATGTATAAACTGGTTTTTTTTTTCCCCCGAACCTAAAATGATAATGTTAACAACCGATTGTAGTGAAAATAATCGTAACGTTAAAAAAGCGTTTAGAACAAATATCCGCTACGGAATCATTCGGGATACCGATCAAATCTGACCTACATTAAATCGGACAGCGATGCGACCGCGAGCCACGCGCGCACACGGTGCTGAATTCGTCCGATTTCCCTTTGTTCACCGTGCAGCTATCCGTACGGTTCAGAGGTCAAACTTTATGCGTAACGAAAAAATAAATAAATAAATGAACAATAAAAAAACGGAATACCGGCTCTCTATCACGTATAATATGCGTTTTAAGCCGCGCATTGAATGCGTTTTCGTACGATTCGTGTGAACTTGTACGTACACGCACGAACGATGCCGGCCTATCAAATACTATGCGAGCGCGCAGGCTGAGTTCGAGATGTTCGTACGTATAGCTCCGACGTACGAAAACAATCCGAACTTGTCCGGATTTCATTAACGTCCGTACATCAGATATGGATTGCGTGTCAGGACGTCACGAATGACCGAAACATTGACTATTTTACGGATAAAAACGTGTTCGGTGTGCGCATCCAACTCGTACGACCAGTATTCGTACCTGTTTGGTACGAAACGAATTTGTATCCAATGCGCACGCGGCCTTATATAGGTTAGGCGCACCGGAAAACGTGCGTGCAAGACAATGTCGAAAACGAATCCGGTCGCAGCTAATCGTTCCGATCGACGGCCCTTGAACGAGTGTAATGCTAATATTTACGATCGTTGTTTCGCGTTCGATGCGACCGAACGCTTATCGCAGAACGACGCGATACCATGGGCGCAACTAGGGGGGGGAGAGCGCAATAGGGTTCTTAGCACTCCTGTGTTCAAATGAAGCACTTCTTTTTTTTTTCTCCAGATTATTCCAACGCACGTGTTGTACGGTCGTTGCGATGACAAAAACATAATTCGCGTGTCATTACCGTAACGCATGGCGGCGATGGTCGCAGTTGCGGTCAGAAATGTGCGCCGTAAACGATCAAGACTGTCGTTGTACCGACGGTTTCGGGTTCGCGCGACGGGACAGGACCGCCGCCGGGTAAGGACGGAATAAAAAATAAATAAAAATGTCCTGCTCACCTGGCACGACAGCTGCGCCCATTTGCTTGCTGCTCCTGGCCAACGTGAGCGCGATCAGCGCGCAGTCGAACAACGGTTTGGTCAGGTGCGAGTACAAATGCGCCACGGACGACGTGAACGCCGTGATGTCGTCCGTCAGCCGATGGTCGGCGTTGTCGATGCGACCGTCCATGTTGCTGACCCTGTAGTACGTTTGATCCTTGAAGTACAGACCGTACGCGTGGTCGACCAGCCGAGACCTAAACGCAAACGAACAATCAATACAACTGATAACATTTTATGTTTTATCGTATACAACAGTATTGCAGTGTAATGACTTAAATGTACACAAACAATGACAAGTTATGGCGTGTAGGTACGACTTGTCGAACGCTGCGCGCGACAAAGTGCACGTTAAAGTCACTAATTTTTTCACCACCTACTCTCGGTTGCGTTCGAGTTATCCTCATCGTTCATAACATGCAGATGCACAGACGAACGTTGTAGTTACACAAATCGCAGTGTTGTACGTTTGTCAATAAATCGCGTTTGATCGCGGTGAACGTATCATTATACCACAGTAATAAAGTGATGTTGGAATACTGTTCGGTTACAAATAATAATTCGAAGTTCTCGTGGTATTTCTAAGATTATCGATAGTGAATGTAATTTAGTTTATTTACCGATTTACACGTCTTATTTGAGTGTTCAAACGTTCGCTGTTCGAACTCTTGTCACTTTGAATATATACGAGTGACATTATCAGATAGTAAACTAATCACTATACAATGCGTCCGACACGCGACTATAATAAATAGTCTTCATATTTAAAATCCACGCATACTCGATAATAAAACAGATGACTACTCGTTTTGAAACTGATCTGAGAATTTCGGGAATTGGGGCCAATCGCCCTTTCAAGTATAAATACTAAATAGTACATATTAGAAATTACATCACATGTTATATTTATTACATTAATTTAGTAATCTTTAAGGTACTGCCCCACTGGGAGCGATTTTGCGATTCTGCGTTTCGAGCGTTTCTGCGATTTTACACGCGCGATGTCCTCTAGCGATTTTGATAGGGACACTTTAGCGATTTTACATGCGTTTCTGCATTTTTAGTTGCGCGTGTTCGTGTATTTTTCATTTGTTTATTCGATCCTCGACTAAGATGACGTCCAGAAAAATGTTGCTGGCTGAAAGTGCTGCTTTAATTGACATTTAAATGATTATTATTATTATTTTATTGTTTATAATTCTTTGAACATTCTGACAATTAATGAAGGTATCCACTCTCCCATCAGTATAATATTATAATTTATCACACTTTTCAGTTTTATAACATTCGATCTGAGAAATACTGTTTTTTTTAATAAAAAGTACCTACAATAGATGCATAACAGTAATTATTGTCATTTGTTGTCAATATTTATCTAATATTACAGCTCTAATTTCTTTAAAATTATATGTCACCCCAAAGTAATGCAATACTTGTACTCTAGTTAAGAGCCTCAGTATACTTATTAATTATTAGCTAATATACTATATTATACTATGATACTATATTAGCTAATATATCAAAATATATAATATTAATTAATTAAATTACCATTCATGTCAAGATCCTTTCCAATGTTGGACCAACATTTTTGAATCTTAGTCCTATTACTGTGGTCCGGGTGTCTAGGATTCCAAATAGCTTCCTGTACGAAGACAGCGGCAGCTATTTGTTCGGACACAACCGACGCGGAAAACATTTTGACAGCGATTAATCGCCGAATATCAAACTATTTTGTTCTTTCAGCGATTACCGCGCGTGTAAAGCTACACGCGACACGAGGCACGCGCTCAGTGGGGCCACTACATATGAGTTACATACTTTTGTTAAAATCGCTAAAACGCAAAATCGCTACACGCTATCGTAAAAACGCAAATCGCTCCCAGTGGGGCCGCACCTTTAATAAGTTTACATTGTTCATCATTTTGCGCGTTCGTAATACACAAAATTATTAGTATATAATATGCCCTAAGCGTAACTTGGAAATTTATTAGGGGGGGGGGGGAATATAATTACATATCTAACGAAGAGGGTGTCCGAAGATAAACGCCGCTTTTCTATCTACATAATTTTATATAAAATTATTAATTTTCTAACATTATGTTAAATATGCGAAAATTTAAAATTAAGATTTAAAAAAAAAAAAAAATTTATAGTGATAGTCATGACCGACTGTTTTGTATTTATTTTAAAACAAGGTATGCTAAATATTAGAGAGGACACTGCCATTCCTAATTTATTCTAAGGGGGAAATTGCCACCTCAGCTTACGCCTATGTAACATGCTATTTTATTTGTTTTATAACGGAAAAAATCAGTTGATGGCGATTAACTGTTTTTGATTTCATATACATTGAAATATGCTTCTATGGAGTATAAATATTCTTTCTTTCCTTTCTTTCCTTGTGCTATATTTATAATTATTGGCACCATTCGCATGTTTGCAAAATTAAAATAAACTAATGAACTAACGACTACCACAAACGAAAATATGTCTCACATAATTCATTAACATAATATCAGTTATTTTTTATTGCAAGTACAAATATGAACAAAAATAGTTTCATTAAAAAATATATTGCAAAATATACGGTATTACGTTAATTAGTAAACCATTTTTGCCAATCATTAACACATTTTTTTGACAGTATATATTGTTATCTTGACAGAAAATCGTTTGCAATTTGTAAAATAGAATCGTGTATAAATTGTATAGATAATAATGTTCTGCGATTATATAATTTATTTTTAACTATTCGAAATCGATTTTTATACACTTACTCGATTAAAAATGCATTACGTATGAGTATACTTGGGTCGACAACACCAACTGTATGATCAAAAAAAAAAAAAAATGTATTCTTATAGAATCAAAAAAAAATTGTCACGTTGTTAATGTACATTTTATCGATCATCGTGGTCTCACATAATTTATACAAGCTCAAAATTATAATTATTGTAATTATTTTTAATTAATTTATCACGAAAGTTCGATAAAACAAAAATATGATATTTACTAAGTATCCACAAAATCGAATCCCATATTCTACACTAATCTGAAAACATACACTTAAATTGAGTTTATTTATAGTTAAAATAACTAACCACCGGAGGATCAATCTAAATATCCAAAGGATGATTTATTCAAATACATGCGAACTCGTTGGGCTCGATAAGATTGCAATCGTCTCTTTTCTTTCGTGTCACAGCTGGATGTCGTGTAGTACGTACACGTAAAAAAAAAAAAAAAATCGTCTAGTAAATATTCCGTTTTTATTTTAGGCACGTAACAGTGTATAGGATAACAAAGTATCCTCTGAGAATCCATGAATTACCTTCTCGGGCGTCATGTGCGTCAACCGTATTATAACGTCACTGAAGCGATGTGAATAAATTATTGTTCGCCGGACGTCAGAACTTGTCACATGGACGGCAATATAAGTACATAGAACCAATTTTATTAATGTGTAATGAAAAATAAAAATATATATCGCAATGATACCGCCGGCATCGCATAATCATACTTGAATGGTCGAACCATAGATCGTATTTATACGTGCATTGTATCAAACCGATCGACCATAAGAAAAAATTATCTAGTACATATGTATCTACTTTTTTCTTCCTTTTTTTTTTCTTTTTTTTTCGCGGTATTATACATTATTTATTGCTTACGCAGATATAGACAAGGAACGTATGTATGATATTTTTTAAACGGTTACTTATACGTAATAATTATACCTGTATAGTACGTATACGATCAAACAGGACACAGTATGAATTTTTGTTGACCTGGTAATTTACCAATCATGAACGTCTTTGATACCACATCCTATATATTTGTATTAACTGATTCAATGTCTCCTTTATTAAATTTTGTTAAAACAGTAGGAATACTTATACTTTTGATTCTCAAATAGTTTAACTTATAATTTGATGTTCAAACCATGATAGATAGATTATTGCAGCTATTAACTTGTTACTTTCACACATTTTATATCAGCTAGACGTTCATTAATCATTATTATTTAAAGTTAAAGCAGTAATAATTTCTACGATCATATAATACATGTAATATAATAAAATAATAAATAAAATAAATGTAAAATATATGTCTTATCTATTTTAGATTAACTTTATCTACTATGCCTAAACTTTCGGTAATCGTAATTCATTGATATACAGTTTCGTTAGATTAAATTATATTCTCAGAAAAATATTAAAAACACATACAATTACGGGTTGATAAAATTGAATACCAAAAGTACCAAAATACTATTTTAATCAACAATAATTGTAATATAAATTAAATTTCTGTTATTTGATCTTTAATCGATACTTGAGTCGTCCCAATAATCAAAAAAAATTAATATTTTCTTAAATACAACCGGGTTAGTGTAGGAAAAAGCACCCTATACATACTACACGCATAATAAACGATAAATTATATGATTATGACTGCAATCGAGGTTTTCCTGTATTATAAATCACTTATGGTTTTCTTCAACAACTTGTAAGCGCAGAGCCAACCGATTTTGATATTTTAGTATACGAACGATAATTATGCGCTTGAACATAAGCTAGAGAGTAATTGTAATGATAAATTGTCGAAAAAAAAATTTTTGACGGATTACTACACCATACACGCGATCAATCAAACGGATATTATATAGAAATACAGGTAGGTACATGCACACACTGCACACATTGCGCGCGCCTCGATGTTTTTATCCTTGATTGAACGCGCGAACATTACAAACAATTAAAATGTGTGTACATTAAATATGATTATCAAAACTCGCGCTATAATCATCGATTTCATTATGTTGTCAATCGTCGTTTTAAGATTAGTTTTAAAACTTTAGGTTTACGAATCATCACTTTGAAAATGTGATACTATACATACAAAGTGATATAATTTGAATTAAACACGTTCAAATGTCTTGCACGCGACCAAAAGTGTAATACGAATGATATAAAAATGTATAATTATATTGTTATGTATAATTTTGTATACAGAGTAGTGCTCTTGTTTTGATTTGGGTGATACTCGGGTACCCACAAACCTGGGTACCTAGGTTCCAGTATATCCGGGTAATACCCGATTTTACAGGTAACCAACGTTTTCGGGTGGTGGGTAACCATTATCTTAAGTGTTTGGATACCAGATAGTTTTTAATACATGTAAATGATCAAGT